GCTGAGTGTCCGAACAAGCCCTTCCAGAGTTGAAGTATATCTGTTTAGAAACTGGTTTCAACCAAAGCGAGGCTGTTGCTGAGCACAAGACTTCATTAGCTGAGCTTTATAAAACTCCTGCTGCTTCCCAAGCCCTTTCCTTCCCTGCCCTCCTGCCTGGAGCAACCACAAACGCTCCCCTTGTGCGCTGGCGCTTGGTACCTGCACCGGCAGCGTGCCCTCCCCACAGCCCCTCTGCCTGCACATCCTAGCTGCCTTGTGAAATAAATACATATTTTAAAGCAAATAGCCCTGCTGCACAAGCGCATAATTAGCATGTTTGTGAAGCGTGCCAGGGAACAACGTATAGGTGCCTGTATAGGGGTTAGGTGCACGCAAGGAGCACTACATCTGTGCTCCRTATACAGGTCCAGGAAAATTTGAAGCCTTTATAGACACACATACGTAGGAGTAAAGACTGCCAGCCTCCTGAAATCTATCGATACTGCTCTTCATCTCTAAACAAGTACACACATTAACTGCAACTGCAGATAGCACATGTGTTTTACCTGCCTTTCTCTCCGTATGCATTCCGTATATATAGGGTTTTATACAGCAGAGTAAGCAGTTACAAATGTTACAAACGCACACACATGCACACAGAGACATACACACACACATATGTGAGCTTAAATAACTGGGTGAATAGGTGAATATGAACACTAATAGCCATTTATGGCAACAACAATGAAAGCTGTCCCTGGAGCCTGCCTATGGCAGAGCAGCCAAAATGATTGAGTATCCACGGGGCACTGCTACGGCAATGGCACTCACATGGGCCTCCTTTTAGAAATGATTAATATTTAACTGACTTTCTGAACCTGGCTTTGTTTTTCGCTATGATTAGATAGCACTGTGCACAGAGCAGGCCCGTAAGTACCTGGTAGGGTGTCCGAGCAGCCTCCATGCTCACTGCCACAGGGAGAGAACAGCAAGAGGCAGAGGCACAAGGCAGTAAAAAAATATGCTCAGCTCTGTTTGTGTTTGTTTGGAAAGAAAAGGGGGGAAAGCTGCCTGAGAGGCCAGTGTAATAAGATGCTGTAGCTTTTACGAAAGAGGTGAAATAATTTTAAACACAGACACACAATGAGTTTATTTATTTAGAAACTTGTTAAATAGAGTCTGGGAATTCAAATATTCAATGTTGACATTGTACAGAGCTGGCAGGGAGCCAGGCCCGGCTCTCTGGAGGGACCCAATGGCCACGGCGCCCAGGCCCTCGCCCCTCCCAGCCCACTAAATAGGTAAAAGCCATTAGTTATACCCACAAGCAATATCTGAATCTGAGTCAAATAATGTTGCCTCAGCCAGCCGACTTCAAAGGCGAGTAAGTGTGTTTGGCTTTTTAGTGCTGGAACTGCAGCAATATGTCACACTTTTGAAAGAGTTTTGTAAACAGTTCCTTCCCCTTTGTAGAAACATTTCTTAAGTTTCTTGTACCCCATGTAAACAGCGTTAATTAACAAGGGTTACATTTTTCATTTACAAGGCGGACCGTATTAATGACGAGCTCGCCTTTCAGGGCGTCCCTTCCCTTTGTGTCTCCCTCCGTGCCCCCGGCGGCAGCGCGGGAGCCGCCGCGGGGGCCCCGCAGCGCCCGCCCCGCCGCCAAAGGGGCTTCCCGCGTACGGGGAAGTCTGTCTAGGAGGCGGGAGAGAGAGGGAGGGAGGGAGGAAAAACGGCGAGGAAAATGAAAAGAAAGGAAGGAAAAAAGAAGGGGGAAAAAAGTAGAAAGTGAGAAAGAAAAAGCAGAAATTGAGAAAGAAGAAAGAAAAGAAAAGAAAAGAAAAGAAAAGAAAAGAAAAGAAAAGAAAAGAAAAGAAAAGAAAAGAAAAGAAAAGAAAAGAAAAGAAAAGAAAAGA